ACAATAACTGTCCTGAGCTAACGTCTGCTGTTGACTTGTAGATCTAGAAAAAGGAACATCTTTATCATAATAGTATTGAGTGATGAACAATGAACATGTCCCAATTAAGAATGGGAATACAACAAAACAGAAACCAACTTTGGCTCTACCTATGTATTGGGTATGCATATAGATATAAGCTAGTTGCTTACGGTTGAACGAACCCTCTAGTATAGCATTATTATGTAAACAATGGTAGAATTAACGGTACAATAAACAGGGAATTAAAGGAATGATCATGCACTAAATGCATAAGCTACATACTTGCAGCCAATACAGGATGGCAATGCATTGTGGTCCTTCAAATGAATCCACTTATGACTGGCTTCATAAGTGAAGCTATCCCCACAATGGACATGTACTCACACAATGCACATGTGTCAGGATACTACAACATGTGACTGGAAGTATGAATACCATCATTACCATTACATATACTGTATTTTACCATATAAACGCCTGGTCCAAATAAACGCCTGTCTCAATTATATTCTAACTATAGATACTCATATTTCTACCAAAATTAATACCCCTACTCCTTAGATGGCTCCAAAGTGCTTCTTAGTTAGAGCCTGGTCTGGTTTGCTAAAGGTTGCAGGTTCTATCGTGCCCAAAGTTTCTTTTTTTCTTTTTTTAATGAAATTTTTTCTTGCCGTTAAGAAATAAACACCCGGGTGTCTAATCGGTAAAATACGGTATGCATGTCAGTGACATCAGAACCTGTGATATATACAAAGTTGCTTTTAAATGCCAGCATGACACAACAACCAGGGAATGACTTTAGAACTAAGAGAAGTGCTAATCAAGTTATGCACATGCTCAATGGCTAAAGAGAAGCCAATCAAGTTATGAAGTGTGCAGACAAAATTAGAGAATGCACTTGAACCCATTGTATGTAAAATAATGTAAAATAAATATTGGGATGAGCCTAAGCGAGCCCCACTAAGACATAACAAGTCTGTTTGTCTGTCGTCTAACTATTATTAAAGTTAAATAGCCTAATCTTCATTGAAAACGGGTGTGGTCACAATGAATAAAACAGTGGCTATCAGCAAGTCTGAGCTTATTTGCAGCAAACTGTCTGCAAACGGTCAGCAAGATAAGACTAAACTGCTGTCCAAAGGCTTCTCTAGCAAGAAGAAAGGTAGGAAAAGCAGTTATAGAGTCTTTTTTATTCATATACAGGAGTCTGATAAGGTGAGAAAGCTGCATGTAGCTACCTGCATGACTCATGAGATCTAGTCTAGGTGATGATTCTTCTCTAGCAGCAAGCCTAGGTTAACAAAGCAGATCTACAATCTTCTTTGCTCAGTGACTGCTTCTGACTTATCTTAGACTTGTGTGCTATAAGCAATTGCTGCAGGCTTAAGTGCTAGCTATGATGAAGTCAGTGATAGAGAAATTTAAGCAAGATGGCTGCATCAATATCTACTGTATTTAGACATGTGTAATTACTTTAATCATACAACACATAATCTATAGCTTGCTTAGGCTTGTGCTTTTAATGTTTTACAATATTCTAGTGTGTAATAATGAGAGACAGAAATGAGGTGAGAGATGGGTGCATGGGCTTCTATTGATACACTAACCATTAGTAAGAGATGATGCTATTCTTAATTCATAGGTCCCATCTTCATTCTTGAACAATCATAACAATAATGATTATGATCTAAAGAAGCATTAGAAAATAGAAACCCAAAAATTTCTGACTACGTTGCAAACACATGACAAGCCTTACTAATAAATAATGTGTACCAGAATAGCTACCAGAATAGTAAGTCGTTATACCCTATTAAATATTCATTGATTATCAATTAACACAAACCACACCCACTCACATCAGGAGGGAACGCTAACTGTCGTGCAGCAGGTGGGTGGAGTGAGAATCCTCACCTGAACGTAAGGACGTTTTCTCGCTGGATTA